TGTCTGATATGGCACAAAAATCGTGGACAGAAAGAGGATAATAAAAGATATGGCAGGATTATGTATCGGAAATCCTTTTTTTTTGCTTGTGAAATGTGTTCTGAGAATTTTTTTATTTTCGTTTGAGAAAAACAATATAAATTAAAGCTCACGTGTAAATTCCTTGTCAAAGTTGTCTTTATTATTAACTACTAGAGAATTTTTTAAAGTTTAGTTATATTGAGAGTTTCGTTCAAGTCAGTCTTCGTTAAAGTGAATTATTAGATTTTTGTGTGAATAACTGAAACATGTATATTTACTATATTTACTACAAATTCACTATATATTCTTAAGTTGCTCATATAATATCAAATTCTTTTATTATAAACATGAGAAATTCAAAACTTTTAATTATGTGAGAGGATTGTGTCCTAACATAAATAACATACCTAGTATGAGAAATTCAAAAGCTTTTAAAATTTAACAAATACATACGTAATTTATAAATAATATTATGAACAATCTAATTTTTTTACACATGCAAATATATGGTGATGTGAAAAAATCGAAAGCTTACACTGTAAGGTAATCAGATTACATGTATCAATGTGTCCCAAATACGTGTGAAAAATTCAAAATTCTTAATATTAAATATTTGTAAACAATTTGATCGATTACATGATAATGAAATTGTACTGTAAAATGAATTCTTTCGACGTGATATATTTAAATACAGTGTAAGTAATCAAAAAATTCTTAATCGAATCTTTTCTCATCTAAAATATAAATACAAATAATTATGCATCACACATTGTACCTAGTATGGGAAATTCAAAAACGTTTAAATTTAATATAATTTTATGAGTAAATAAATTCCACGGATGCAAATATACTGTAAGATGAAAAAAAAATCGAAAGTGACATTTAATATGAGAGAAGAATTAGTCCATTCATCTACGTAATTCATAAATAATGGTATTGATAAATAAATATTCAGTAAAATATACTGTAAAGGGAAAGAGAATCGAATTGTTTGTATCACTGTATCCAAATACGTATCTCATAAAAATAATGAATAATACAGTAAAACGAATTTCCTTCTCTAATAAATTATTCAATGCAAATCAAAACATTCATGCATCTAATATAGATATATTTAGAAAGTTAGGGTGTGGTAACACTAAAAGTGCTCTTGGATTGGTGACTGCCATATAAAATACTAATTCTTTTCCGGTGCATACCATCTAAAGCGTTGATGTTCAAAAATAAAGCGTACTGTATAAAGTAGTGAAACCTGGCCATATCAGTTATTAACCCCTAAACCCGATACATAATTAAATTTTAATTTGTAACGACGACTTTAAAATAAATAAATAGTTCATGCAATGAAAAATGATGCAAGCAAAGTATCGAATTCTCACGTAATATCTGTGAGAAACTCGAAAACAAAAGCAATTTGGAGAAAAAAATCGATCTCGTACAGTATATGTATGCATTCAAAGATACATTGTAATGGTACATAAACTGTAAAGTGAGAGAGAATCGAGTGTCTGTACAAGGTATTATGCATACAGAACACATGTATAGTCTAACCGCAAACGCATGTCTCAATCATCTAAATGTAGATGTATGAGAAACAAAAATTTCGACGACTTACAAGGGTACAGTACATGTATGTTGAATAAATATTTACATATACATATCTATATTTAGAACTTTAAATGTTTCGATTTGCATTGAATAATTTATTACGAAGGGAATTCGTTTTACAATATGCATTCATTATCTTTGAATTACTGTAGATCAGTTTTTTCAAAAATTTAATATTAGAAATATTAGAAATTTGAATTTCTCGTAAGATACATATAATTTGATTATCTTCACTTTACGGTATAGTCACATGTGAGAACATTTATTTATTAGTTATATTGTCTTTCAAATGATATTCAAACAAAATTAAAAAAATTCTCAGAACACATTTCACAGACAAAAAATAGATTTCCGATACATAATCGCTGCATTAATTAACTTTAGAGATTCTAATGAGCTGTAATGCTATACATGGTTCTCAATCCTCATCCTTATTGTCGTCGCCATCATTATCCGATAAAAATTCAAGTTGGTCTGTTTTCTGAATAGGATCCCAACTTTTTTTAATAATAAAAATTTACATCATCTGGGAACATTGCATGTATACACAAGGCAATGATCCTAACTTTTCTCGCCGAAAGGTCGTTCGTCTTTTGCTCTCGTACACAACCATTCCAAACGATAACTTTTAGCAGATCTGAACTAAAATAATAAAATATTCCGTATTTTTTTATTTACTGACTAGAAATTCAAAATTAACAACTTGAATTTATAAGCCAATAAATATTATTCTTAATACAATTTTTTGCTACTATTTTCCGTGCGGACTGTATTTGATATTAATCAATCTAATTTAAATCATTGTGTAATAATTAAAAAATAGGATATCTCTGGAAGATTTGTGTGATTTGAGGAAAAATAAAGAATAAAATTATTTTTTAAACAGCACTTTGACTTTTATTTATGCGTAACGAAATTGCTAGTCGTGCTGAATAACATTAATGGCTTTACTTCTTTTGCTTAAAAGTTAATGTTTGTGTGTGTGTATATATAATATGTATTTTAATTATTTGATTGTGATTTATATTATTGTTTTATCCTTTAGTTGAATTAGTAAAATCTCTTGCTATTTTTAATTTGAATTCTATCGTATCTTACCTTCTTGATTACAAAACCTTCGTGCTGACGGCATAATGTTGCGCACTTCCAGGAATTAGTGGGTTTAGAGGACAAGTGCAGCAAGGTAAGTTTAAGCAAGACTGAATATTTTATAATTAAGGGTTTCTTTATTGTTCTAAAAGTTTCCCTATGGTGTTCTGTACACAAATCAACCTTTACACGTTTTATTATTTTATTTAGATGAAGGTTTCTGATCAACAGCAACAAAAAGTCTACGCTAGACTACAAATGGGTTTCGAGAAGGTTTCTGATCACCTGCAACATAATAACGCGCGTCACAAAGGTTACTTCGCGACCCAGATGTTTTCAGCTAACAAAAAACTACAAATGTTCAAAATCGAAGGTTAGACTTAGTTTCTGCCAACGCAATCAAAGTCGAAATGTGGATTATTTTGAGCGAAGTTCGTTCATTACTTGTAGCAAGGTTTGAAGATAACCAAAAATAAAAGAAAAGTCGGTTATTTAAAAGTAAAAGAGCTTACAGGTAAAAGGATTGGTATTTATTTATTTGTTTAGAGTATATCGTTCAAAGGCTTAACATCTCGTCTTTTATACAAATTTTCTTCTACATTATGGCTAGTTCTATTTTTAACGCTATTCTACTCTGCATTCCAACTTCCGTACAATAAGATCAAGCTTAATATGAACGATGTCATCAAAAGAGTTTGGGGAGGAAAGAAGAAATATGAATTATCAGAAACATCGATCCAAAAAGGTTTATCGCTTGCTAAAAATGGAATTAAGGGTAGTCATACAAAAATTAATAAAGTAAACGTATGAATAAATTTACAAATCGGTATCAATATTAGTTCGGAAATTTTAACAATATTGTTCAAGTCGTGTGCTTATAAAAAGAATTATGGACTCACAAATTGCAAGGTTATTAAAGTAATGTTATCGGTGTCGGAATTTAATTATTGTGGCTGCAGCAGTTTCGATGCATGCCATTACTACCAGTCATTTACGCTAATTAGTTTATTCCCTATTATGTTAACGATCAATCATTAAACGATAATTGTTCCAAAAAATGGGTATCGATAATCTCCCTTAAGGAATTTTAATGAAAAATTAAGGAATTACGCAATATAATGTTTCTATAGATACCTCACTTAGCATAAATCATTCAGCTTAGCTCACAATTCTTGTTGCATTTCAAAATTATATTAAATGTAAAACTACTATCGCTATGCATAGTATGGAACCTTACATTTTTAACCTTGACTGCCTAACATGACATGATATTTTAGATCATAGCAAATAGTTAATATTTACGGGGATAATTAGAAATCTGTCACTAACTTTCCATCGCTCATCATTAAAAGTCTTAATTTTTCGCATTACATATTTTGTTTGACTCTGCAAGCCTATAACAACCTTATTATAACAAAAGAAAATAAACCCAAATATTGAGTTTAATAATATGTCTTATCTAAATAAAAAGACAATGAAAACAAATGTACTTTATCTCGTGTTTATCTTGAATATTGTTATGAGTTATAAAAACACCAAAATAGTACATATTGATAGTCGTCACTTGACATTCGTTCCTGTTAAACTAATATTTTATTATAATTCCCATTGTACAAGAGAAAAAAGACGTATATGTAAAGAGATCAACAAAGGAGTACTATCGGAAAAATAAATTATGATCTATGGATTGTGCATATGTGCTGAAGAATTAGTGAAATCGTTGGTTTTATTCTTTTTTTCCTCGGATAAAACTTTATCTTTCCGTTATCAGGACTAAATGTATACATGTAAGATGTGCGTATAACGTTTGTTACCATGCGAATATAAACGAAAGTCATTTATCATTAACATTTATATTAACGATTAGCAATATTTTTACTTTTTGTTTTATTCCCTAGAATAGAAATTTTCATAAGGAAAATTTCAATCTCTGTTTAATTCTTTAAAATAAAATTTCATAGAGGAAAAAATAATTTCATAGAAAATCCACTCAAATGACATTGTACTTTCTTAGGTTCTCAGAAGATAATAATGTCACCATACAAAGGTCACAAAAAAGAGTCTATTTTCTATTGTATTATCATTTATATTCCTAAAATATTTTACTTAAACAAATCTTGTTTCATTAATTCTTTAATTATACAAAAGTCACCGCAACTTACACCAAATAAAATGAAAATGATTACTTACCATGCTATCATTTGTGATTGTTTAATTACGTTTCCTTTTTTGGGACATTGTCGCACAATTTACATACGACTTCCAAGAAGTGGTTGTTACGTATGGTAATTCTATTGCTGCCAAGCACAATACCCAATTATTATGGGTCGATCTCAATGCAGCGAGGCCCGAAATGCAACAGTACGACCAGTGCAAGGTTTCGTGAACTTAATCACACTACATTCTACAAAGCTACAAATCCAGAATACAAGACAGCCACAGAAAGTAATCAAGCATTAATTAACGATGCTGACGAAGAAGAAACAAGCGCTCCAGTTCTCACGTAGTCGATTACAAAAATTTGCCATCCTTACGGCGCTCAAGCAAGCCAATTCATACAATATCAACTTTATTTAGGAAATATAATCAGTATAGGAATAGGAGACACAATAACTCAAGAAGTCAACTTTCAAATAACTCAAGATCAATCCACATTGAGTCAAGAGATAGCGAAATTTCTCCCATCAAAAACGTAATGTATATGCTCTAATTCAGAAGGTGACTTTTAGTACAGGCTTTAATGCTTCACTTAAGAATTCAGGGTGTGCCGCTTTTTAGTATCAAGAAAAAATATCAGATCATTATTTATGGATGATAACTGTCCAGTAGTTTTGTTAGTCTCTTCCAAACAATTTTTTGCATAGATTATTAGCAACATATCTCTAATCCGTGATATGGAATTTCACAAAACCTTATAAGCAATTTTATTTTTGTTCATACTAGAATATTGAAAGGTAACATTTGTTTATTTTATTAAATAAATTCTAGCAAAATATTATTATAAATGTTTCGGGTAACTATGTAAATTCGAATGATTTATTATTACGTCGTAATTTTGAAATTTGAATCATTGCGAACATGTTTACAAAAAACTATTTGAACCAAAATTAAGATTTATGGTATTATACACAAAAATCATAAATTGAAATAAACTGAAACATAACAACTTTCTTAGAAATTGCGTCCAAAGAAACTATACAATGTCATTACACGTTATAATTATGATTGGGCTTTAATGTTAATCTGTCTTAAAAATTAAGATCGAGATGTTCTGGAGCAATTTATTCAGAATAAGATCACATGGAAAATTAAACTACCCTAAGTCTACGAACAGTGCATAGGGATCATGTGAACTTTCCGATATTTATACATGTGCATGTGGTAAACCAATCAAATCACAATAACGGAAAAAAATTTCTTATTTTTGAAAAATAGCTTGTATCTTGAAATTTTGCCTATGAAACTACTTGCTGTGTTCTAACAAAAAAGGTTTCTTGCGAAATTTTACTTTAAATATTTACGCGTGATATAAAAAATTTCGGTTAGAACCAGTGTTAGAGTTATACAACACATAAAAGGTTTGTGTTGTTTGTTTGTGTTATTGCGAAATTCACAAGAAACATTTTTGTTCATTAAAAATTTTTTTAAACCTTCGTTAAAATGGACTTTATTTTTTGTAATTTTTTGTTAAATTCGTCTGAATAACAGATACGAATTGAAATACTGTATATTTACTAGAATTATAATTTCACCATATAATATCGAATTCTTTTACACATGATGTATCTAAATATAGCACGAGAAAATAAATTTTTAATTTTAAAATAAATTTATAATTATGACGATAATGTGAAAATGGATCGTGTCATAATTTTCATGCATGCGAATATACTATATGGTGAAAAATCGAATGTTTACAGCATATTGAATCAAATACACGTAATATGAGAGAAAAATTAGTCGATATATCTATTTAATTCATAGCTAATAGTAGCACTTATAAATAAATATTCACACATGTAACTATATTATAAAGTGAAAGAGTACCTAATTATATGTATCAATGTGTCATATTATGAGAAGTTTAAAATTTCGTAATATTTAATATTTGTAAACAATTTGATCGATTTGATAATAATTATATTGTAAATACGAATTCTTTCAGAAACGATATATCTAAAAATAGTATAGTATATCAATAAAACTCTTAATCGAATCCTTTCTCAACTAAAAATGTCTAATTCATTTACATGTATAACACTAAATACATATATATTCACTACACTTTATATCCTGAACCAATATATTCTTCGCTCGATCTGACAATAAACTTTATCGTAAATTATACTTGTCCGGATTTTCCGACCTTATCATATTTCTTAAAACTGTTAATACATTCTATGTACGCAAAACATACGTAATATATCTGTAAGAATTCGAAAATAAAATAAATTATTTGGAGAAAATCGATTAATACAAAATATATGCATTTAATCAAAGATATAGATATTGCCCTATAAATTCTGAATATTTACACATTGTACACGTAAGAAATTGATTGATACAAATATGTAATTCAAGATAATGCAAAGCGAAAAAAAATATTTGAAGGTAACTTGATGCGCACATACGCACATGCAATAACGACAAATGTAAATATTTGATGCAAAATAAAAAAAATAAAGTAACAAAACATAGCATGAGAAATCCAAAACATTTAAGAATTTCGGGAATAATAATGTGAAAGAGGATCGTGCCCTGACGCAAATAACCTGCTTAGCAAAAGCTTTTAATATTTGAGAAATTCAAATTTAATCGATATACAGTACATACGTAATTCTTAGATAATATCATGAGTAAACTAATTTTCATGCATGCAAATATACTGTAAGGTGAAAAAATCGAAAACTTACAATATTCGTAATGAGAAAAATTAATCTGTACATACGTAATTCATAGGTAATGGTATTAAAAAATATTCATACATGTAAAAATATACTGTAAATGAAAGAGAATCGAATTATTTATATCAATGTGTCCAAATACACATCTTATGAATTCAAAAATTTATATTAAGAATTTTTGAAAAAATGATCGATGCAATCGGAAACTTTCACGCATGATGCATCTAAATATAGCGATCTTATGAAAATACTCCAAATATACAAATAATTAATGTAAATGTTCATGAGGGAAGAATTCAAACCTTAACCTTGATTCAAAAAATCAATTATATCACATAACTGGTATGTAAAACGTATAAACAAACACAGTGTATATCATGTTCGTTCGGTTATAAATTCGATACATTTGGTGACGCATGTAGAGCATCAAAGATATATATGGACATAAATGTACATGTACAACGTCTCATTAATTCATCTAAATATAGTATGAGAAAAAAAATTGTCGATAATTTAATTAAAATATTCATGCATGCAAAATATTCTCTCACACTTAACTACACTCAAAGAAACAATGTGTTACTTTATAAAATAAAAACTGTGAAAAGAAAATTGAAATAACATTATTTTAAAGAAACACACATAATTCAAAGATACATTCGTAGTGATATTAATAAAATATTTATACGTGTGAAATATACATGTATAGTACATGTAGTATGAAAAATAGCTGAATACCTTCACAGTATTATGAGAATTACTGTCATAATATATTCTGAACTTATGAATATTGCTTATTAATTATTAAGAAATAAATGGTTGAGTCACTTTTGTACCGAATTTAAAGTTTATTTTCACTTATTGTGTAATAATTCGGTTTTTCTTCTTGCCATATTCATAATTTGAAGTTTACACATTAATCTGAACTTTCATTTTGATTCTTTTGAATCTAGCTTAAATAATATATTAAACTCGACAAATCAAACCCTAACAAAACATCAGGCTATTTAATTTACAAACAGAATTTATATATTCTTCGTCTTTAATTTAATGTATTGCAATTTAAAGGATATAATTTTCTATCTTCTATTTAATAAATTCTCTTTCTTATCTACTAAGCTAACGATCTCTTAATTAAATAGCCATAGTTTGTTTATTACAAATTGTCTTTATCATGTATTTATTTTATAAATTTAACAAAAATTATCTGCTTTTTGAATATTTATGAATATTACATGTGAAATAATTTTTAACTAATTTTGATCAAAAAATTTTGAACTTTACTTAAATATCTCACGGTTCTTATTAAGATTTTAGTGGATGTTCACTTGAACACAACAACACAACGAAAATATTATTTTGAGTTATTGATAAATGAGTTTATTTTAATTCACACGAGACTATTCGTTAAAAGTGAACTGTATATCTTCAATCGATATTTCACAATTCTTATAAATAGGAGCTCTTTTCAACTCGTTAAAAGATCAAGACAACAAATATAGTCTTAAATAACAAGTACAACCTTAAAAACAAAAAATACATCTCTCAAAACAAAAAATATCATCAAACCTCACTCTACAAAACATCTCTAACACTAAAAAAATGAAGTTCCATTACATCAATTACTCTCTTGCGTTTTTTACGGTCATCCTCGCGTTATCCATTACTACCGCAACACCTATTGACATGCTTAAAAGGAACGATAACAATGCATATTGTAATGGTGTCATCGTACCCCTTAACGCCCTTTGTTGTTTTGGGGTGATTGTTTATAATTCAAATATTTGTAGTCCCCAGTAACATTTTGTATATTGCACACAAATGCTTATTGAAATAATGTATAATTACATCAAAATGTATCCTGGCATTTGTAGACAAACAATCGATAGTAAATAAAAGTGCACTAAAATTCACTTAATACAATCTTTCTATTATAATTCATTTGTAAGCTAAATAACAGGAATTAAAAAAAAAATCTGTTTATATGTACTAAATTCAGCTGGGAATATGTAACATTGAATTGAATTAGAATTTACTAAAAAAAACTTACTCATACTAACTATTTTATCATTTTAGATTTTCTAAGGCCTGTGATGTAATGATATGGCGTAGTTGGAATTTATACATTTATTTTTATTTTCACTTGATTAAAAGTCTTAAATATATATAATATTTTAATCAAATCAATTAGTATATACATTTTCTGAATCAAGGTTCTAATTACTAATCAGTTAATAGTTGGCGTGATGAATTTAAAGCTAATCTTATAAAGGCAGTTTTGTATAAAGAAAAATTAAAATTTATAATTTATAATTTGAATATTGATTTTATATACATTTAGAAAATGACTTATAAGTAATTTATAATTAATCAATTCAAATTCGACTTCAAATAGTACAATTAATTAATTCTGAATTTATTTCAGAAAATTCATATCGATGTGATAAATATTCTTTTTTTAGCAAGTTTTTCATATTATTATATGTATTTATAACAAGATATATATATATATGAATTTTTTATTAATAAAAGATAGATAATTTACGATTTCTGAACTTTCAGCTTACTTCAAAGATTTTACACTATTTCACCAATTTCTCAAACTAATATTAATATAGTTTTTACTTAAAATTCTGCTTCAATTATTATAAAAAAATGAAAAATTATTATTCATATACTGTTATCATTAATTCTTAATATGCGATTGCAAAGTTATATTCATTTTTTTATTATTGCTGAAATTAAAGAATTTTTTATACATCCAATTCAGAAGTTTAATGCAATAGAAATTA